GCCCTCCCTGGCATGTGGAGCAAGGGATTGAACTGCGGCCCCTTTGTTTGCCTATGCAGGCGCTTTAGTCCACTGAGCTGTCTCATCAGTGCCCTGCCTATGCTTTTGATGTTATCTTTTCTTCTTCCAAAAAAAAAAAATCACTGCCAAGTTTCATGCTATGAAGCTTTCCCCTATGTTTTCTGAGTGTTTTTGTCTTTATTCTTTTTATTTGTTTTTTTCTTTGAAAAAAGTTGAAAACAACAAAAAAGGAAAATAAAGCTACTAATTACCTGAAAATATATATGAATGCTCCTATTGTGCTAGCAATGTGGCATTCTTTTTTCTTTCCCTTTTTTTTTTTTTTGGTACCAGGTATCAAACTCAGGACCTTGGGCTTGGCAGGCAGGTGCTGTACTGCTATGCTGTATTCCCAGCCCTTAGGATTGATTTTTACTGCATCTATAGCAAGTTTGTTATTGTATTATCATTGGCTTACTAATGGAGACAAAAAATGAAAACTACAAACTAGAAATAGAAGCAAATAATACAGCAAATTTACTGCTGTTTAGAGGTCTTGGGCATAAATAGGTCGATAGCTAAGTGAGAGTTTTGCCAAGTTATTAAATCATGCATATTATTAGATATGTTGATTTTTGGTTAATGAGCAGCATACTAGTCAGTTGCATTCTTTTTTCATTCCTCCTCCTCTTTTTTTTTTTGAGACATGGTCTTGCTGTGTAGTTCATTCTGGCCTTGAACTCATTATTTAGCCAGGCGGCCTAACTTGCAGCTATCTTCTTGCCTCACACTTCTAGGTGCTGCGATTATAGGAGCTCCTTAAATTGCATTCTTAATCTGTTGATTGATTTGTGATATTAAGGACGTTAAGGCCTAGCTGCTGATGTCTCTTCATTTTTTTTTTTCCTTAGGGCAAGAGGATTATGACAGATTACGACCACTGAGTTATCCACAAACAGATGTATTTCTAGTCTGTTTTTCAGTGGTCTCTCCATCCTCATTTGAAAATGTGAAAGAAAAGGTAAGTTGTTCAAGTAACTGTTCCTCTATAAAAGATCATCATAGAATTTCTGTTGACCTGTTGTATTAGCTTTAGAGGCTGTGGATTAACAAGAGTGTATTTAAAATACCTTTTCTTTAGTGGGTGCCTGAGATAACTCACCATTGTCCAAAGACTCCTTTCTTGCTTGTTGGGACCCAAATTGATCTCAGAGATGATCCCTCTACTATTGAGAAACTTGCCAAGAACAAACAGAAACCTATCACTCCAGAGACTGCTGAAAAGCTGGCCCGTGATCTGAAGGCTGTCAAGTATGTGGAGTGTTCTGCACTCACACAGGTAAGGGTTGTATGGAACTTTCTGTACAGCTGAGTTGTTTTTTGAAGGTTGGGATACAGAGGTTATTTCTAATCATGGTTAATAGTACTCAGAGCTGTCTGGGCAGGGTGTGACCAGCCTCACACTGTTTGCTGGAGGCTTCTGTGTATACAGAGAATGTTACTAGTCTCTAAAATGTGTGTTGGTGAGTTCTCATGTCAGAGTTGTCTAGATTTGAAGCAGTCAAGGTTATGCCAAAAAAACTTAAAGGAGTGGTCTAGCACAAACTTTCAAGTGAAATATTTCTGTTTTTTTCCCCCCTAGAGACTTAATTTTCATTTAAATATATCTGGTTGTTTTCTTGCCACTAGTGGCACTTGATGCTGCATAATTTCTAGGGAAAAGTCAACCAGACAAATATTTAATTAGTCATAGTATTTGGGCTTTCAGATCAAAGAATGCTACCTTGACTATTTCTGTCAAAGTCCTCAAGCATGCTTTATAATAGTATGTCCGTTTCCGTGTTTTTGGAGCCAGTCCTTCATGTGAACCTACCTCCTCCTTCTGGTCATATTGGAATGATTTGATTGGAATTCCTCTTGCAGTTTTATAGAAAGCTCACATTTGAAGCATAGATAGGAGCAATGAATGAAAGTGTTAACTAGCCCATGTGGGGAAGGCCCTTCTACTTCATACTGTTGCAGATGCCCTCCTTTGACTATTGTTCTAGGGGCAAAGGAAAGAATTATGGAAATAATTAACAGAACTCTTGCTTTGAAGATTGAACAGTGAACAGACATGCCTAATTAAAACATGTTACTAGTCGTTATACTGAATCCACTTATATTAATCATGCCTTTTCAGGTTTTTGTTCATATTTTATTTTATTTTTTTTAAATGCCGATTCTTGATTATATGTATGCTAGGATAAATGGCATATATAATTACATATATTTACATTTGCACTAGGTAGTTATTATGTAGGGCCTTGTCCATACTTTTCTCCTTGGTTGGATATTTAAAGATAAAGCTTTTACGCATAACCAGATATTTTAAAGGATAATTTCAAGGCCTAGTCTTAAGTAATGTAAGGGCATTCTCTAGTTTTTCTTGGCTGTTTAATGCTATTATAAAATGGATATTTCAAAGTTCAGAAAAATTTACATATTTTCTCACACAGAACAGACTGAGATTTAAAAAAAAAAAAAGAAGAGCAACTCTTGGTGCATCTTTCTATTCTGATCCCATTCCTAGAAAACTTTCAGTGAATATATATGTATCAAGGCAGGTGAAAAGGCTGTCAGTAGAACATTAATAACTCCATTTGCAGCTGTTAATAAGCTCCTTATTCCTCTAGATATAGACTACTTTTGAGGAAATGGAGGCAAGTAGACCATGTGGGCCTAATTTTAGATCAATGATGAAGCTTATTTTATTTTATACAATACTAGGGTTTAAACCCAAGAACTTTTCTCTGAGCTGTATCCCCCAATCCCCCCCCCTTTTTTTTTTAAATTTTTGAGACTAGGTCTTTGAAAATTATAAACTGCCCAGGCTGGGCTTGAGCTTTGGATCCTTCTACTTTAGCCTTTCAGAATGCTGGTATTACAGGTTTGTGCCACCATATCTGGCAGTGAAGCTTATTTTAGATATAGTTGGGTGCTTAATTATAAAGATATTTATAGTGTGAACAAGTGTACATGATAAATCACTTTGCAGAGGGAAGGAAAAAGCTTGAGAAATTATAGCAGTCACTTTTCTTACATTATTCTGAAGTGAGAAGAAATCAGAGGAGGCAAAAATATAAAATGGCCAAACTTTTAGGACTTGTGTACAGGAGCTAGAGCTTTTAGGATTCCAGATGCTGTTTGTTTATTCTTTTTTTTGTGGTACCGGAGATTGAACTCAGGACCCTGCACTTACTTTGCTAGGCAGGCCCTTGTCCCCCTGGCCCTCTGTTTATTAATTCTTTTTAAAACTAACATTTTCTTTGTATAAAGATAGTGAGTGAAGCCTAAATTTGTTTTGTTTTTTAGAATATTTGTTGATATTTGTTTACAATAAGAAGAAAAAATTTCCTTTTTGTTATGGCATATATACCCCAGTTTCTAATGGTCCTATTCTTTGTTTTTTAATTATAAAACAAAACATATTCCACCTTCTATCTCTCCTCCTTAGTATTTGGTTATGAGAGTTTATATGTAGAATAATTGCAGAGAAACTTCAACAGGTTTTTTTTTATACAATATAAATGATATAGAATGAAGAAAACTTTAAAAACCTTTTGCCTCCTTTTGAATACTGATTACTGTCTTATTTATTTTGTATTTAATGGAGTATGTGGGCACCATTCCTGTGGGGTGCTTTTGTAGGGATATGGGGAATGAGGAGGGACCATCTGGGGTAGTCTGGGTTGGTACTTAACATTGGAGCCATGCTCTGGGACTTCCGGGACATTTTTACTTGGTATCAAACTGATCTGAGAACATGTGAGACTACTTTGGGTGGTAAACCTGTGGCTTCAGATTTAGGTGAGTTTAGGTGAAAGTTTGGGCCCAAGGTACTACTAATACTGAGTCCACTGTCACAATGGAGTTTCTGGCTGAGGTGTAAGTGTATTTCTACATCTTAATCTGTAGACCTGAGAATAGTCTTTGTTTTCACTCCATGCTTTATGCTGTGATTCCCATGCAGACGCTTGAAAGCGTTGGACTGCTTGCTAAAACTCATTCTAGGGCCCCATTCTTTGTTTTGTATAACTTGGGTGGTTACTTGCTCTAGTAACATTTCTGAATAACTGAAGTGTATGCTGTTTTAAGAGTCCATTCTTTAAATTCCAGTTGCTACTGCTGCACAGTGAACACTCCTAGATGTCTGAACCTTTTGTTCTGGGAAACTGATTTACTCTGAAATCCTGATTAATCCTATCCAGATATGTCACTGAACCTAGAAACATGTAGCATGCTTGTTAGTCTGCTATTTGTGTCCTTCAGTTATTCAGGGGCTGAATTCACATAAGCCTGAAATAATAAGAGATTTATTTCCAAAATACACATGCTGTTCTCACTGGTAGAAGTACTGGGGGATTGTTCAGGCTTATTAATTACTCAACGCATCTGTCTGGTCTTTACATCCCTGTCCCCCCTTTTGTGAGGCGGAGACAGGGTCTTGCTGTGTAGTTCAGGTTGGCCTTGAACTCACCATGTAGTGCAGGCTGGCCTCAAAAGCATGACAGTCCTCCTCCTTCAGCCTCCTGAGTGCTGGGATTATAGGCATTGCTGCTGTGCCTGAACCTACAAACCCGTTTTTTATTTCCTGGCATTTTATTTTCATAAAATGTTACAATATTAGATTTTATTATGTGTGTGTACATTTTCATAAAAGTTGCTTTTTTTCCCCTCAAGAAATACCCCTACCCTCCTTTGTGAGACAACATTTTTGTTCAGTTGTATACTTCACCAATATTACATTGAAGGTCTAGCATTTTGGTTTTCTAAACGCACAATGCTTCTGTGAATTCAGTTTATTTAATCCGGACTGCTATTGTATCTGCTAGTCTTTCTAATCCTCTAACCTGGCTGCTATTCTCTCTCCTCCCCTCTGTCTTGTAGAGAGGTCTGAAGAATGTGTTTGATGAGGCTATCCTAGCTGCCCTCGAGCCTCCGGAAACTCAACCCAAAAGGAAGTGCTGTATATTCTAAACTGTTTTCTCCTTCCCCTCTTTGCTGCTGCTTCCTGTCCCACTATTGTAGAAAGATCGTTTAAAAACAAAGGAATAAAACCATCCTGTTTGAAAGCCTCTGCGTCTTTTTACTTACCACCTTTGAGCAACTTCTGTATTAGTTTTTGATTAAGAATGCAATATCTTAATAGAATTTTTTTTTTTGTGATCAGTAGTCAAGTTGGATTTGCTTAACTTGCTGCTGCTTGAGTTGCCTGATGCTCAGAGCTTTTTGGTTTGGATTTCTATTGCAAAAGGGCACATGGTCTGGCATTAAGAACATCTTCTTGGAGTAGAGTTTTTTTTTAACACTTCTAGATCATAGTTCTAGATGGAGAAAGTAACAGAAACATCGTTTTACTCTTATGATCTATTGTTAATTGTAATTGCATGACAAATTATGGAAAAAGGTTGACTTGCTAGTAGAGTGTAACGGGGAAGGGTGGATTCTTTTCTGGTTTTCTTTGTGCAGCAAAACTTTGTGTTGCTATTGCTTTGGTTGTCTGTGCTGTAGTGGAGTATTTGTCAGTCTGGGGAGGGGAAGATATGTATCTGCTACTGCTTTATGAGTTCATTTGTTATATTATCTTTTAAGATATTAGCATCCATTTTAATAGTTGACTTAAGGTTTGTTAATGCTGCGATGTAAAGCTGCCATCTTTATATTTTTTTGCTTTTAATTTTATTGTGAAGGAAACATACCATTGTGGTTACTTTTAAAATTTGAAATTAAAAACATACAATTGTTTCTATAATGCCTGGTGAAGCTTTATTCTTGTTACACTGACTGGCTCTGACTTTACATATGTATTAGGTACCCACATGTTGCTTCCTTGTATCCCCTTGACTCTTAATTGGTGGGATAAAGGAGTTCAAAATGAATACTGATGGTAGCTGCCGTAATTGTGCTCTTTATCTTTGCCTGTGCTTTCCATATAATAAGGATGCCACTGCCTGGGCATCTCTCTGTCCTGTTTCACATCCAGTTGTTTCATTCAGACGCAGAGCTGCTTTCCTTGTTTCTGTGTGAATGTTCCAACGGCATATTACAAACTCATATTAAATGAGCAAGTGACACATGTGCTTCTTTGCTTCTTGTGACATACATTGGTCTGCCAAAAGCATTCTCAAAGGAACATTATCTCACTCATGAACATCTGCTCCTTTGCTCCTGTATTGCTGAATCTTTCCAGTGCCCTGTCGGGACAAAACTTGGTGAAATAAGATTATTATGTTGAGATTTAGGATTGTATTTAATGCTTCTTTCTTTGCCCACTCTTGGGGTTTGACTATTTTAAACTTGAACTCCAGCTCTGTTATACTGAAAATCAGACTGCCCATTTCTTCTTTCTACCCCTTTTCAGAAAGGCCTAAAGAATGTGTTTGATGAAGCAATATTGGCTGCCCTGGAGCCTCCAGAACCGAAGAAGAGCCGCAGGTGTGTGCTGCTATGAAC